GATGTGACGACGTGAACCCCCCTGGGAGCTCTAGCAGTGGCTGCGACATCGAGTGATCTATCGAACCTCCAATATTCCTCACAGCGGGGTGTCGTCCCGCCTGTCCTCTTCTCTGGCCCTGCCAGAAGCCCCACCATCACCACGACTACCACAAGCAGCTTCCACAATATCTGCCGTGCAAGCGAATCCTCAGGCTCCCCTCCCTTTTTCTCTGACAGCTATTCCGCTATTCGTTGTCGTCTTTGCTACTGCCGCAACTATAACAGCTAGCTATCGCCAGCCACCATCTGTGGCTGATCTCGTTAGCGGTGCCATTCAACAGCGCCACTAAGCTCTAACTGCTTTATGCGCTGTCAGACGGCGCTGCCACTCTCTGCTCGCTCGAGCCATCCGCTCTGTTGTTTCCCCAAAGAAAGGAATGGGGATAGGTCGGCCTCGCAGGAGCTACTTGCAGAAACTACTACTACAACTGCTATCACATGGGAAGCATCAAGTGCGACAGTGGACGGTCGGTGACAGCGCCGCGACGGCGAAGGGGACAACGAAAGCTCTATGAGCAAGCTCTTCTGCGGGGATTTAAATATGTGAGCGCATGCACGTTGGTTGCATGGGTGTGAACTTACATCGCAGCGTATGTACACTACATTTGGCCGAGTAGAATGACGCGACGCTGTGGAGCGGCCTGGCTAGCCAACTATCTTGAATGCCACATAGGGATTACCGCGTCGCGGAGGGCTACGGGGCGAACGAACCGGGAAGCATACGCGGTGCGGCTTACGCGGCATCCAGCCAGTACAATCACATCTGCCTCACAGAATGGCCTAGCAGAGGAGGGGTGTTGGAGATCGGTCCCATAAATTCTCATATCCTTAGTGCATCTTTTTTCACGTCCCTTGTTCACCTGTCGCAGTTACTCAAGAATTTCGTATAGTAGTACACCTATTAGCTAAGTTATGGCGCTAGAACAACGATAGCGAAAAGGGTCGCCTTTACCTATGCGATAATCTGTCAATCTTTTTCGGTATCTAGCTCCACTCAGTCCGTGTGTCCGCTCATAACAAAATGCGAAGGTCCATCTTTTTAAAGGCGACCGTGAGTATTGACGATTGATGGCTGAATGTCAATTTCCCTAGCGCTTTGATTTCCCGCGGGGTAAACTTCCGCCGGTAATATTATCCAAATGTTTCAAAGTAGAGAAGTTATAAACGAATCTAGACGAATAAGAGTATGTGGTACTATTTGTTTATTTTACGAAGTTTTTATTTACGAAGTGAGCAACAACCTCTAATGGCATACTTCGTACTATTTAAGAAAGGATGACTAGGTTTTGCAATATTTTCTAACGTTCAGTAAATTTTGACTTTAACTCAAACAACGAACCAGTTGTATCTGGATTTCACTTTTGTAAAATGGATAAGCATATGATTTACGGACATTTTTTTGTACTAAGGAAAAAAGAGACGGAGAAAACAAATGTATCGTGACACACCTCTCATTTGAGTGGTCATGTTTATTATCACGATATATACACTAGACTGAATTAGAAATTTGTTTGGGTGTCCACCAGCTTGCCAGCAATTGTAATCAGGTAGATGTGTGTATCGTCAATGCCAAACGATCTTTCATTGTTTCTGTTTGCTTCTCTGTTGGGTAAGCTAATATTTGTACTTCCTGCCGCATTTGTATAGTCCGTTCATACAAATAAAGGAACATTTTACGCGCCTCCAAAAAAAACTGTCAGCAAGGAACGCGTATGTGTCGGTTAGGTCAATACTCAATTGTTCCAAGTATGTTCCAGCCACCACATAGTTGTTCTAAGTGCCCATTAACAGCTAGTCCATCCACTGCCATTGGACCGCGTTATCCATCATGATTGGTCTGTCCAACCAGCAATGGCAGCACGTTCATGAGTTGGGCGGTGCGCAGCTACTACTGGTATAACCACGGATCTCGTTTATCGACTGGTTAGCTATTGTTGCTGCCATTGGCACCGCCGTTAAACTGGCAAAAGGCCGGTGCCTTCTCTCATTTGATTCCGTTGTTGGGTGGCGCTGCTCACATGGAAATCAACCAGCGTTGTCCTGAGCTGTCCCGCCATAGCGGCCGAAACAAATACGAGCTCTACAATTGCAGGGCTCCTTGCTGTGTTGGAGCGGCGCTTTACATTATGTACATTGTGCTGCGGAAAATCCCAGTTTTGAATGCCTTTCCGTCATGTTCAGCTCCATCTTGGAAGGAAGTTTTCTGATTCAAAGGGTGTTGTACTTAGTGACAATGCACGTCGCTGACTTTCACGGTCGGGATCAGTGTGGTGATGGAGACACATAGGAATAGAGAAGGAAAGACAAACGGTCAGTCGTGGCGTGTGGCAAAAGGTAGAGAGGGCAAAAAGCTGGGAATTCAAACAAATTCTTTTGTATATAGTGGTAGCGTAATGCATCCTGTAATCTTGCGTCTATAATGTATATCCATGTCTATATTGCAGTAACAGTACATACCCGGTATGACCAAGGTCGTGGCATGTACCTGGCAGAACGGCTTCACGGTGGAGTATCATATCTTTGGCTGGGGTTGTGGTCATTGTTTTCGTACCGGTTAGACATCGGTACAAGCACGACTAGGGTTTATTATCGTCCTTTGGTCTCTTCGCGAATCCGGAAACGTCAGCTATTATTGCAACCATAAGCTACGACAAGTGATTAACATACTACCTTTACTTCGTCTACGAAATCGGGATCCAACGTTACTCCATCATCAAACAGGCGGGTCGACACGAGACGGGTTTTTAGTTTACTTTGGCGGGATTTGTTATGTGCTTAAATGCATGTGGCATAAAAACACAGAGGAGTATTGTATATATCGCATAAGAAAAAGAAAATCCTGTATGCCACTTACAGCTTGTCATAGTTGCCCAGATAGACTTATAGGGCACGAAAACAACTGTGCAGTAATAATTGCTCTATTTGAACAATGAGGAATCACTATGCAATACAGATTTGCCGAACAAAGTTAGACAAGTGACAAGCACAACGTCAGCGTTTTCGTCGAATTTCGTGCTAGTTTCACGTACTTCACACACCTATGCAAGCAAACACTAGAAAGCGACACACGATATACACAATCATTTCGAATTATCTTGCTAAACGTTTTGATCCTTCGGCCGATACACTAACCCTTCGATCACTATGAACGCATGCTATGTCAAAAAACGAAACAGATAGAGTGCAGCAAATTCAACTGCCATGACTGAGTACCAAACTTCGAATGATGCTCAAAGCTCATGAAATCTTCGCAGGGTAGTGTGGTACCCCCTTGATCACTGGCCAATTCGCTACAGCTAAATATCTACGTAGATCTCAGTATCGAAAACAGGCACTGTTTCTGTTTATAGCTATTTGTTTTTTCCACTGCAGTCGCCTTCGCGGCCGCCAATGGCGCTACCGATATAAACACTTGGCGGCCAATACCGCCTGCCTACAGTTATAACAACGGGTAAGACACATTGTGAGCTCACTTCTAGGTACTTTTATTCGGCATGCAGAGCCTAGCTAAGTAAACCTTCTCGGAACGTCAGATTGCCGGGCGAGTTTGAATCTGTTGAGATGGAGCCTCCCTGAAGTGGCTAAACTAAATCGTTCATAGTGGATACTGCATAAAGACGCCAATGACGCGCCGACTGTGACCTCTTGTCGCTCTTCTCTCTATTGGAGTCGACTACTCGACAATATGGTAATCACTGCCGCCAGCGTTTCTTATACAAACAACCATAAGGTCAATAAACAATCACCGAACAACGATGACTATAAGAGCTAATGATACATAAAAGCCACATTACAACGGCATAGGAAATGTCAGGCAAACCGGGCGAACGCAGCACATATTCTCGCCTCGGTTTTTCTCTTTCTGTGAGCAACTAGGAGAGTACAGAAAGCGCACCCCAAGGGGAGCAACACTAGCTGGCGGATAATTTATGGGAAGGCTGTTGTAACAAAGAGGTGCCGCGCTCCAACACAAAATGGAAGTATATACACAGATAAGGATAACTCGAAAATAGAAAAGAAACCCTGGTCATATTAGTTTATTAGGATGACCTCCGACGAATATGTTCGCGCGATACATGGGTGTCGATAAATTTTGAAGCGAGAAACCTTGATACCATATAGATTTCATAGTAAAGTGGTGGATGCATATTAGAGCTCCGCGCAGTAAAGTGTAAATCTACCGATAAAGCGTATTTCAAATCAAGAGAAAACAAGTATTATATTTGAGTTGCACGTCTTTGGTTCAACGTATGTATCAGATCTGAGTAATAATTGATTATAGTTTGTTGGATTTCTTGTCGGGGTTACGACGATACGTTGATTTGCTCTGCATTCTTTGAAATTACGACTAGAATTATGGTTTTTTTTGCCACGGCACAAGGTCACTTTGTATGTGTCTACGACTTCTTGTCTCCGTAAGACATCATAGCGGAACTTAAATAAGACTAGACGAGGCAGCGGGTGCCACCGGCTAGAAGGCAGGGATCGACGAAACGAAAGACTTAGTGACTAAATATCAAAACAGATAATACGTTCTACGGAAACGTATCTCTCTGTTAGATCAAGGTTGATTGACGCACAAGACGCATGGGTATGCCATACATACGTGACGCTGGTGACAGAATTAATCTATTTTACGAACCAAGTACAGGAGCATTTCACCTACGTAAGCGTGCTTTACATACACGAAGTCACATGCGATAAAAATGCTATCCAGCATTTTCTTACAAAATGCTATTTTCGACAAAAGAACTGTCGTTTACAAAAAAAAAAAAAAAAGTTTCCATGAGATAGCTTACTTAATAGTCTGCATCTCGTTCATATTACAAATCCCCAATGCAAAAATGTCTATCGTATACTATTGTTGTTAGGGATGCTGGCCTTGCATTTGTATAGAGCACACTGCGGTATATACATACATATGGATGATGATAATAACAATGTAGCGAATGAGCGTACCATGACGATGTAAGCGCAGAGGTGTGGCGGATGCGTATGAATACAGACGCGAGCCGTCCTACTCAGCCGTCTAGTGAGCTGGCTGTCCAACCACTATATAAAGTAGTTGGGGCAAATAGTAACATGCTGGAAACAGCAAGGTGTGAAGAGCATGTTAGAACGTACTTTGCCCCCTCCCCCTCCCCTTCCCTCTCAAAAAAAGTACTACGGTCAGGCCTTTCCGCGAAAAAAAAAGCAGCTTTCTACGAACGTGTACAGAAGCGTCGACAGCACTAGCTACGCTGCCAAAGGGAACCTGAGCTAAGCAGCATACGGAAATAGCAATAGCGCATGCTACCAGATAACGCTTGGTGCAGGGATGAAGCAGCAAGAAGGCAATGAAGTGCCAGGTAATACGCACGTTGTAACGATGGCTCTTACAAGAGTAAAACTGTTATTACTTTCATGTAGATGGGCTCGCTAAGGTCTGCCGCCTGTGAGCCCGCAATAGAAACAGACGTAATGGTAGGAGGGAGAGATGGAACTGAAATTGAAGTAGGAGAACAAGGACAGCATAAGGGCGAAGAAAAAGCACAAAATGAATACGACGTGAGATCTCGGCGCGAGGATACTTGATAAAACTAATGATCACCTTTTGTCGCAGACAGCTTCAGGATCAGTAACGATCGCTTTTACTTGTTTCTATTATGAACATAATATAGAATAGTAGGCAGAATTGACGTAGCTTAGTATAGTCGGCCTTAATATGGAGATATTCTGCTGGTGTAATTTTACAGTCGCCTTCATTCGTCCATTATCGAGTCACAGTTTAGATATTCTTGATGTGTATCTCATGTAACACAAAGTTTCAATCGTCCCAGCCCAATTATACGATCTATAATAATTTCTGTCAATAAGCTTTCGTAGTTTTCTGAAGTGATCGCTGTCTCCGAATGCGCGCTTAGCGAAGCGCAATGGCTGGTGGTCAAAAGTGTACCTATGGCTACTGTTGTCGCTGCTGAAGTACTCGTTGAAAAGTGAGACCTCAGACAGCAGGCTCAGTCGCGCAGGTTGTTTGGACTATCGTTGTCATACGACATCACGCGAGTATGCGAAAATAACGGCCCTCCTTCCATCCTCGCTTTGCCGGCACCTTTTATGGCGCTCCTCCACTGCACACAGCTATCACAATCTCCGTTCCTGTTGTCGGTCCCGTGACGGTGTCGGCGGCTCCATCGGCATTTGCAGCCCTTCGCTCCAGTCTCGTACAGACCAGCATATATAATCCTGATCATGCCGTCCTTTTCTCGCTTATGCTAATGAGACTCACACATCGCGTCGCGCAAATGGATGTGTGCATATGCCTTCGTCTGTACGTGCGCGTGTGTTCTTCTATGTCTATGTTGTATACTCATCCTAATGTGTGTATATTTTTGTGATGTGCATTCGTTGAAGTCGGTACATGCGTACGGCTGTACGCGCCAGCAAGCCTGTACTATTGTGTCTGCATATACCGAAAATCTTTTTCATCCCTTGCCCATCGTTTCTTCCTGTTAATATGCATGCCATCTTGTAGCGTCGCGCGCTTCGCACGAAGTTCTCCTTTCTACTGCTACCTTTAGGGCGATCACTGCCACAACAAATCAGCTGTAAGCTGAGCCTCTAGTGTAAAGCAGGACCGCACCTGGTCCTTATTTTTCCAGCCCATGCAGTGAAGGGCATTCGAGCGCTGCATTTTCGAAGAAAGTACGGCCGCTGCCACTGCCGTTAACGAGCTAACACCCCGCAGGCCGCTCGAGTGTGTCCTTTTCAATTGTGAGTAAGAACAGACAGACAAACAACTAACCATCATAACAACGACAGTAACAGCAGCAGTAGCAGCAGACAATTGAACAAAAATGCCTGCCTGTCACAATAGCAAATTGAATACAATGTGTTACTAGCGTGGGCTCATCAAGCTCGTCCAGTCGATCTGTCGGCATTTTTAGCGATGGCGACATTTTACTTTTACGGTCAACTTTAAACGGATAAAGCAAAACGTTGCGTTTTCTAAATAAGAGAAAATGAAAAAGCTAGATGTGGCCTGCTTCGGTATGCCGCTATTGTTGTTCTTAGTTATTACATTTCCTCTCATTGTTTCTGTATTTCTCACTTGACGCGCTCATTGAATTTTAGAATGTTCGCGGAAAGCAAGCCAAACAACCTATCGAGTCCGTGATCGACTTGAAGAAACTTGAAAATCAACAAAAACACTTCGACAATTTTCCGTCATCATCTACGACTAAATAGGGTTCTGTGTTTCTTCGTTTAATTTGAGAGCTATTTCGAACATCTTTATGTGGCGTAAACTAGAGCCACGAGGAGTGTTCCTTAAGGCGAAACGAGAATGTGAGACAGCAAGTTGGTGTTTGGCCGGCAGTGCTCATCGTGTTCGAATATTGCATAATAGGGAGTATAAGGCAAAGCAGGGTCCCTAGAAAACGTCAGATCAGATCTGGGGTGAAGGCACCACCTGTCACGCAATACGAATAGTCGGCCCGGTTTCTTCTTCGCTATAATACGTTATTATAATGATTATGATTCTTGCTGTTCGTATGTGTAGCTGGCACGCGTCTCTATGTAGGGATTTGATCATACACACGAACGATTCCTATATTGGTAACCAGTCTCATTCATGATTTGGCAAACATCTTGTCTTTATTCCGCTCGATGTTCCATTTCAATCCAACAGTTAAAGGACTACTGGTGGAAAATATCGAGCATAATCAGCATACTAAACTGCTTTGCCCAACCATTTATTCATACGGCACATCGCTGTTTTCTTTCAATCGATGTCAATATTGTTATACGTATTGACTTTTACTTATCAAAATGTCTCAAAATCAACGGATCATTTTCGTGTGACAAATCAGTAGTTATCTCTTACTGTGCCTCACACGTAGCACGACTCCTGATAAGTAGAAGTAATGCTAAGACGATCTGAAGAGATAACATATTTAAGGAATACTTGATTCAGCAAACTTTACCAGCACATCATACGGGAAAATTTCACTAGAAATAAAAGTTATCTGTTCGATCCATCGAATAACTGTTCATCAACCTAGAAGACCAGTACTTAGTAATGCATCACACACAATCATGATAACGGCATACTTTCAAGCTTTCTATTTCACTTATTCTCTCACGACCTTATAATTTACACTGAATGACATAGTGAAGTTAACCTCCCATCACAGGTAGCTTATCCGCGATCTGTACAATCCACTGAACGATTGTCTCTGCAGCACCCGCGACTCTACTGTAGTCGATGCAAATACGTATATTTCTGTGCCCGGCTCTACCGCTCCCTTCGTCCGTTTCCTTTTCTTATTTTAAATTATTCAATGTTCACTTAACTGTGGTGTGCGGTCACCTAGTTGTTTACGGGAATTGGGCCCTGGGTCTGTCCAGGGCGTAGGTCCGTTTGTTTGATAGGCCCTCAACAGCAGTGGTAGAGGTTGGCCCTGTCCACTTCTTTCCTTCTATTGTATATGTTCGATGCGGCTTGGCGATGTCTTTGTCGACTTCTATCGGCTTTTCGCGTGTTTCCCCTTCGTTTTTTCTCTTTCTGTCTTTTCTAGGTAGCTGTTTAGACCGCGCATGCCGAAGACATGAGCCCTGTTTACCAATAGCTAACGTACTCCAGTTTTGCTTCAGCTCTAGCTAGAGCCTTTGAGCAAGTTTGTTGGTTATAATCATTGCAGCTACTGCCAGCGTGGTCATTTTCAGAGGGGGGTCGAGGGGGTACATTTCTCTTTCCTGTTCTAACTCTTGACCTATTTCGAAACCCGACAGAAAGGGTACCGGGAGGCAGGATCCTAGCAGCGGCGACGCCTTGTCCACGCAAGCGAAAAGAAGAAACGCTCACAAAGATCAATACGGGACCTCGAGTTTGTGCTTGAAGAAGCGTTGTAATTTCCCCCATGAGCGGGTTGAGGGAAGTAGGGGGTAATAATACGGAAGCAAAATTTAACAGCGTCACTTCGCTCATCTTCAACCGAATTGCAACAACGCTGGTGATCCTGATAATGATGGCTTAAATAAACGTAAGTGTATGGGCAACAGAGCGACTACATCTCAATAATTAGGCGCTAACATCGTTTGTAACTAGACAATAGTTCCACTTATGCGAATAACAGTTTATTTAGGAACCCGAAATGCTGAACAGTTCTATTTGGCGACCAACCTCCATCTTTCTTGTTATTCTATACTTACAGATAATAAGCTTGTGCCTAAATGTCCCGCCCATAGACGAACGTGAATTCGAAGTTACCAAAATCTGCACGTCTGCCCCACCCCACCCCACCCTGTAGCTGTTGTTTAATAGCAAATTTAATGCATGAATCTCTAAACGTCATTAAAACGATACAGATATGTAGCATCAGATCGTTCTATACCATATAATGTCTACATACTAATATATACAATGATACTAGTGAGCCTACCGTGTTTTCGCTTTTATCTACCTCCTAGCCAAAACTCTGATGGGCACTATTACGTGCCTAAGTGTGTGCGTCACGCTCTATACATGGGTAATAAATGCACGTACGACCTCTATGGTCCGAAGCTTCGTAATATCGTATAAAAGCCGCATCGTGACAAAAGCCATCTGCTTGTAACAACGGGAATGTCGTACCACGTGCTATACGGTGTAGCATCGGTATTTGAAAATTTCAGCCATTGTAAAGAGCTGTAATCTGTAAGAAGCTGTAATTTAGGAGCTATTATAGGATTCTAATTTTTGCGAAATACAATTATCCAAATAGATAATATAACAGTATACGTTAAATTTGTGTGTTCATACGCAGTGATGTACTGTACGAATAGAAAGGTGTGCATAAATACGTGTATTTAATAGAGATTTAAAAAAAAGAATATAATATCACGTTAGTATATATGTTATTCATACCTATCGCTTTCCTGTGTTATAAAGCAAACGGACTTTATCGTCCTATTCTTTCTGATAGCCCTTACCTCTAAGGGCCTTCACAATAACAAGAAATAATAAACGCACGTCTCGAATCCTGTTTCGATGAGAGTCTGATGATCGTCTCCTCTTTCAGAAACGCCAGCTCTCTATTCTTTTCCGTCTAGTTGCCCCTATCAATGGGGAAAATACCCCTGAGGTTCTTCAGGATGAGTTGTGTACCGCGTAACCTATATTTATCTAGTAGTGAAGCTTACGTACAGCCCTTAAGTGCTTGTGACGCTCTTGTCTGCGAAGATGACGATTCCCAAGTGGCCTATATACGTCCTGCTAGTTCCAGTACAAAACGCTGACTGGGCAATTAAGCTTGAACATCAATAAAAAGACTAAACATCAATGGCATCGGCGACGAAGGTTTGCCAGCTGTCTATTTGCTGTTCACTGGGAGCGAGACCAATAGCGTGTTGCATAATTACAATATCCTGTTAAGAGGTTTTATCGCGGTAAGCAATGTGATTGCCTGTCCCATAGAACGAATTCCAACAAGCCCTCCGTGGGGATCGCTGCTAATTAAGGGTATCTTGGCAAGTTTACCACGTGAGTTTGTGTAAACGTCCATAGTTTCTTAATATAGATGTTGGCTGATGGTATTTCACTTTGGCAGAGACTGAACCGAAGATTCTCTTTGTGCGCTCTTAATACCTCGACCTCAGGTTACAAGAACTACTTATTAGCAGAAGGGACGTTTACTTAGTTTAAATTCGTAAGTAGCTCGTGCGTGCCCTCATCAGAGTAACAGTGCCGTTTCAAAGGTGCTCGATGTTCTGAAACTCTGACAATCAATCAAAGAGAGTTCATTTCGTCGTCAAACCCTAAAAGACGCTGTTAGGTTTTTGGGCCACTATTTGATTAATTGCATGTGGCTTTTTAGTGATTAATTTGAAGCTTACTGTAAATACATTGGATAGTTTTTCGTTATTTTAACGTATCTCCAGAGGTTTCCTGTGGTACGTGACTTAGTGCGATATGCCTTTGTCCAAATTCAAATGGCTTATTTGGACGCTTTCAACTCGTGCCCCGTACGCGACTTCTTGCCAGTCTTGTTTTTGACTTGCCTTACCAGTACAAATTCGTTTTTAGCGGGTGTTGGAGGTAGTATTTTAATCGTCGAGCCGTCGCTATAATTGTTAACGAAACGCTGTCGGGAACGCATATTGCCTTGTCATATCCAAACGTCATCACTAATTGAGGTGCGTCCTTTTGATCAAATATAGTACTCCAAGCCCGTAATGCATACGGCTCATACGATTTTTATTCTTAGATAATGATGATAATAATAAAACAGTCACAGTCATGAATCATTGTGTATCAGGAAGTGACACAGCGGATTCCGCCTACGCAATCTGCTGACTAAAATCCAACGCGGACAATCACTTCACATGGCGTGCCTTATTATTTGTGTATAAAGTATATTCAAATGACGAATAAAGAACGGCTGCAGCATTTGCTGCTATAATAAATTGGGCGGCTGGTTGTGTATGCCTAGCCGTCATCACACAACACTTCCCTATACAACAATATAAATACCGCTCCATAAAAACGACGACGCGGCCCGTTCAAGTAGTACCGACCGACCGACCGACCGACCGACCGACCGACGTGGCATAGCCATACTAATTTGTTATTATTATTGTTATCGGTCTTCTTTCTCTGCTGCATACATTTAGTGGTCCTGCTTACCTAGTCCACTGCGCTTACGTACTAGCATATAATGTTATGCAGATAGATACTGTAGCTTGTGATGTGATCAGATAGTGGGTTTCGGTCGGGGCTTCTATTGGATAACTACAATACATAAACACCAAGCAAACTGAATGTTGTCTGTCCCTGCGGTAGGGACCCAAGCTAAATCAGGTCCATACATTCAGCATATCGAGTGGCTTTTATGGGTAATCTTTGCTCTTCGCTGAATCCGAAGTAGAATTGAAGACGCGTGCGTTTATTAGGTGCCTTAGGCGTTGACGATGGTTACATGCAGTATGGACGTACGTTTATGTGTTCATTTGCACGATGGAGCATGATGTGTCATAATAATCCCAGATTGTTTCAACGTCAATCACATAGCCGAAGGAATACTTTCTGCATTGACCGCTAGTGCCATTGATACGGAAATGCATCCTCTGAGACATAAGGGAATCTAATTTATTATTGAATTACGTTGTTGGCAATGCGCTTTGCGACGAAGCCATGCTAAGTTTGTCTGCTGTTTGTCGATTTGAAGCTCTCCAGCGACTTGAACCATCAGCGGGTACGTCGTATCTGCCATATTATGACGAGTTAGTCAGTCTACTATCGTGGACTGTAACTAGTCCGAAAAATGCACGTTTTCCTATATAAAGCTTTTACCGCGTATGGTATACAGGGCCCCAAATCTCACTGGCAGATTAACGATGGAGCGGGTTAGTGGGTTTTTTTTTTTTTTTTTCACGAGTATTTACTTGATTAAGAGGTGTTTAAAAAGTCAATTTTTAAAAAAGAACGTACCTGTCACGTTTTAGCCCTGGTCAAGATTTTACCTCTCAGCACTATACCTTATAACTGGAGGCTGTATATAGAGTAACTTCTACTTTCTGCTCGTCTGTTGATATTATTTCAAATCTGCCGTTCAATGTTCTTTTACGTGCATTGCAAGATGTGCGCCATTTCCTGTTAATCGAAAAATATTTATAATAAGTTCGATCGAAAGGTAGATATTTGGTACGTATAGTACGCTAGCTTGAAGGCTAATATGGCCATGCTGTACCAGTCATTAAGGATCGACCTCGTTCGGTAAACACTGACACTAACTACACGAATTGCAGTAATCAAGATGGTATACGACCTGTCGTGAAAAAAATACTTCGTACATAATAGAAAATAAAATGTCAACCGTATCGAGAGTGCACACGCTTATTTACATTTGCTTCGTAACGCTGTGGTAGGCCAAGGTACAGAAAAGAAAGCAGGCTAGAAAAGGACTCCTGACTACAACTGACCTTTTATTACAAACTGTCACTTAAAATTTATGAAGCATTAACGTTTCTAAAAGGTGAAGCTTTTGTTTGAAATGTACGGGGTTAGATAGTTATCGGCATCTTCGCGACTCGACCACATAGATGAATAGAACATCCAGGACGGCGCTTAACAGTTGCATGTCAAGTTAAACGTCAGCGTCCTTGTAGAAGTGTTCCGCTTGCCTGCTGAATACCTCCTGCAGCATTGCTGTTCTCTTCTAATTTTCATGTTGTTACTAGTTCATTGGCCTCTGCAAGGTGGCATTGAAGGTCGTCCTTGAATGACTGTGCAGACCACTGTGCTTTTGTGCATCAAGGCCGTGCATTCTACTCAGTAAATATGTCGATTAGCAGCGGGATGTCCGTCCAACGAATAAATACAAGAATGGTAGAGACCTTCTTATTATTACACGTCTTCGGGGTCGTAGACATGGTTTCGCTGGATTGAGCCTATTACAGTTAGCTTCATAATCGCTTTACTGTTTACTATCAAATCTAAATTATCGTCTTGTTTTAGACTAAATTCTCTATTTGTCTGATAACTAGCAACACTTGCTAATTCTATATATGAATCATTGCCAAACCAGTTCGTATGTTGTTCAGTTATGTTACTAGGTGTGTTAACGAAGTTTATAGAAAAAAACTACTTAAAAAAAAATATGCAGTGGTATTATTTGTGTTATCAATTTCCATGCCTGTATGATCGCTATTTAGATCCATGACAGGTTGAAGGCAATCAACAAGCCTTAGACCTGACTATCTGTCCATTCTTATATTTTGACATAGCATATAATCGACATGTCCCCTTCACTTCGATGACTTCATGTCACTTCAAAATCGTCTTACGAGTCTATCCAATTCCGTTTGATGTAAACTAGCTCGCCTAGCTTGGTATTATATCATGGGTTCACCTAATGCTGTGTGAAGTAATTAGCTGATAGGGCTGGTGTACGTTTGGGAAGAGAGTTCAAGCAAACAACAAGTGTGTGTGCCTTAAACGAAAAGGATAAAGAAATATTATGAATAAGTGTTTCTTTTTTATTTCTCCTCTGTTTGTTTTCGTGTAAACAATCGTTCCTTATTTATGCGTTTTAGTTCATCAGAAAGGTCAAAGGTGATACAATGTGACGCATTAATTTGCTAAGTTATAGGACCCGCTTTCTCGTTACTGAACTCGTCGTTTGTAACCTGTCTAAAATTAACGGGCTGTCGTATAGCGCTTAGTAATGCAATCATGAATCCATTCGGCTATGAGCACCCTGTGGACTTTTGAAGTTAATCTGAGAACGAAGTGTTACCTCACAAGGTCGAGGCGCTTGCGGCAAATGTGAGATGGTGGTCTACGACACACTGTTAATGGGCCGCACACTGA